GCAAATCTGAAAGAAAGCATGGAATAATTTAGAAAATCACCTTCAAGGGAAACTCAGTGCCTGTGTCTGCCCCTTGCCAGGGAACATGGACCGGCACCACTACGAGATGTTCACCAAGTTTGGGGACGATGGCTTCCTGCTGCACCTGGACAATGCCAGAGGGTGAGGCACAGGGGAAAGGTGGGATGGGGAAGGAGGAGGGCAGGCACTGAGCTCTGCTTTTCCCCCCAGGTTCGGGAGGCATTCCCACGATGAAATCTCCATCCTGGCTCCRCTCTCCCAGTGCTGCACGTAAGTTCCTGCTCCTCCTTCCTTCCCGGGAGTGTTGGTGTCCCTGCTGTCACTGGGAAAGGCACCCAGCACAAGGAGGATCCTGCTAATCCCAGCTGGGAGCATCTCCAGTGGAAAATATTCACTGACATTTGTGCATTGGATCAAACCCTTCCAGAAGGGTCTATCAGCCTTTCCAGCCCATCAGCATGAGGAGCTGTCAGGAAGCACAGAAATCTCCATCCTYTGATGCACTTAATCAAGTTTCCTCTCCTCTTATCCTATTTATCTTATATTTAACCCTATGTTCCTCCTGAATKAATTCACATAAATCAGCAGCTGGAAGTTAAATTTGAGAGACAGAGGAAGCTGCTTTTCCCTGAGGTTTCTCTTCAGGAGAGGTGGAACCTTTTTCATCACTGTGCCTGCTCCTTCTCCCCCTCGGGGTGGTAACTGCACTCTYCACACACACCTCTCATTTTAAGAACTGTCATTTGCACTCAGAGAGCCTTTTCATTTATAATTGCAGGCTCGCAGAGAATCCTTCTCTTGAAATTTTGTGCCTTTTCAAATTAACTCTGCCTCTTAATTTGACCTGCRTGCCGTAATATCCACAGGTCACATCATTCCTACTGTTCCAGATCCACCTCCCAGAAACCACTCTTTAATTAATTCTTGTGAAAGGCAGGGATAAGAGGACCTGAGCACCTCATCATAAGCAAACTTGGGCCAGAAAGTGGGACACACAAATCCTCATTTCCCACAAGAGCCGATCCTTTTGGAGTGGGAGAGCCTCTRAAACCACTTGGAAAGGAAGGGAAGAGGTTTTGCTTGAATAAGCACACGGAGGCCACAAATTTCAGCCTGCCCTGACCAACAGCCTGGATCAGCCCACCGAGGACACCAAATTGAGCCACGTGAGCAGGAAAATTCCTCCATCCAGTCCAAGTGGGAGCGCTGGGAGCACAGGGACTGCGAGGAAAGGGATTCTGTGAACTCAGGGATGCTGCGAGGAAAGGGATTCTGTGAGCTCAGGGATGCTGCGAGCCGCTGCTTCCATCCCTGTCAAACACATCCATCTCAATCCCAGATGGGTTTTCCCAAAATCTGGCTTCTTCCTTTCCTGTCAAACACATCCCAGCTGATTTTTTCCCCAAGCACGTTGGAGTCTGTATTTTTAGCTCCTTTCACAACTCCCACTCCTTGTCCCACCTGCCTGCAGGTCTCCTCTCCCAGCACAAGAACAGCCGTGCCACGAGGTGATGCTTTCCCTGAAAAGTGTCCAAAGTTCCCTTTTGGAGGCACATCCAGGCCTGAGAAGAGCCCCAGGCAGCCTGATGGAGTCCCTGGCAGGCTCGGGGTGAAATGTAAATCAGGAGTAAATGTAAATCACTGAGCGAGGTGTGTGTCTGTGGTCAGTGCTGCACAAGTGGAGGAGGATGGTTCTGCCACAGGGGTATCGCCTTCCTGCATTAATATTCCTGAAAAACATAAAATAATCAATTGATCGAGTGTGAAGGCTGGCAGGGGAGCTTTAAACCCCAGCTGTGAGGGTTTAAAGCTCCTTTTCCCTGCTGCTGCTGCCGGGGAAAGCCTGCCCTGGGTGCAGAGCAGCGTTCCCATCTCCTGGCCCTCTCCGTGCGGGGTTTGTTGTGTAACTGTTCCAACCTCAATCAGCTGCTCCCCACGGGGTCAGAGCAGCCCGTTCTCCACCTCTGAGCGCTGTCACTGCCGGGACCAGAGCAAACACAGCTGGTGTTTACCCACAGCAGCTCCTGGGCCGGCCCTGCCCCGAAGGATTCTGCAGATGCTCGGTCACATCTGCTCCGGGCACGGCTTTCCCTGGCAGCAGCAGCAGGGAAAAGGAGCATTAAACCCTCACAGCTGGGGTTTAAAGCTCCCCTGCCAGCYTTCACACTCGATCAATTGATTATTTTATGTTTTTCAGGAATTTTAATGCAGGAAGGCGATGCCCCTGTGGCAGAACCATCCTCCTCCACTTGTGCAGCACTGACCACAGACACACACCTCGCTCAGTGATTTACATTTACTCCTSATTTACATTAGGTATTAGGGAAAACGTTTCCTGGAAAGGGTTGTAAAACATTAACACAGGCTGCCCAGGGAAATCKTGGAGTCACCAACCCTGGAATTCTTCAAAGGATATGTGGATKTGGTACTGGAGGATGTGGTTTAATGGTCCAACAGCAGTTGGACTTGATGTTTTCAAGGTCTTTTCCAGCCTCATGATTGTCCCCATCACCTGGGACAGCCACAACCCTTTCCCAAACAGGACAGGGTCAGGTGGAGCTGCAGAGATCCCAACCAACATTCCCAACTGATGCTCTGGGTAACCACCAGCCTCACAAAGACAGAATCTGGAGCTGCCTGAAATGGATCTGCACCTCTTTCCACCTGAAAATTCTGGCTCAGCCACATCCAAATGGTCCCACAAACATGGGCCACTTTGTTTCCAAGATTTAAAGGRCAATAATTACAGCCACTGATTCGTTTCAGTATTCTGCATGCTGAAGTCAACACATTTTTGCCAAGGATTAAACAAATGATTTCAGAGTACTTTGTTTCATGCCCAGAAGCGTTCCAAGATTGTAGCTTTTCATCCCATTTTCTGTCAAAGCAAATCATACTTGAATCTCAGTGCCTCTTACGGTGAAAAGTCACAGTYCCATCAGTTCCAGGAAATATTCCCTCTTTGTGTTCAGAGTTTTGACAGAAGAAGATTTTCTCATTCATGCCTCTTCATTTACCTCCTCTGCTCCAGTCTGATAAACGCCTTCCTTGGGGAGATGGCACCACCCTGCAGGAGCCCGGGGAACTGGGTCATCTCTGACTCACTCACTACTGAGAAATTCARTCATGTTTTTCTCTCTGCTGACAGAAATTTGCAGTGCAAATACTCTGGAAAAACAAAGGGAGAAGTAGAGGTTTCTGCGAAAAATATCGTTGCCTTCCAAAATTAAAATTAAAGAGCTTTTGTTCCAAAGTCCTTTAAACTTCTTCGCCCACCTCTGCCCTCCTGCTGCCATAAGCTGGCTCTTGCTGGGAGGCATTAAGGTGATTTTTTTTTTTAATTTTTTTTTTTTTTCAGAATAAAGAGGACGACGTTACTGCGACTGCAGCTCTTGGCAGAGCCCGAGTACCGGCTCAGYGATGTGATGAGGGAATCCCTCCAGCACGACCCCCTGGCCCCTGTGCTGACAGAACCCCATCTCCTGGCCCTGGACCGGCGGCTGCAGCTCATCCTGGAAGCTGTGGGGAGATGCATCGACACCTTTGGAGAAGCCACGGTGGTGGCCAACGACACAGCACAGAGATTTGTGTGGCACAGAGCCAAGGTGGACACTTGAGGGGTGCTGAGCTCCTGCTCTGAGCCAGGTAGAGCCCTAATCTGAGCCAGGGACAGCCCTGCCAGGCAAGGGACAGCCCTGCCAGGCAAGTGACAGCTCCAGGAACCGGCCATCCCCATCTGCACAGACCCAGAGGGGAAACTTCACCAGATCATCAGGAATCACCCTGGGTTCTGGTGCTTCTGTGCTCACCCCATGTGCTGGTGTGGCCACAGCTGATCTTTGCAGCCCAAACACCACTCTGGGCTGCAAAAGCTCCAGATCTCAATCTCCAGATGGACAATTTCCAGATRTGGAGCTGGCTGTGCCCTTGGGAGGGTGGGGGAACATCTGGCTTTGGCTGCCCAACCTCCACTGGAGCTTGCTGAGAAGGACACAAACTCAGCACAAGGACAAGGGGTGAATAAAGAGATGCCAAGGGCGTTTTACTCTTAGAAAGGCTTTGTTCTGGAATCACAAATGTGTGTGTTTGAGGAAAGAGCAGTCCTGCTTCCTCAGGGCAGGACAGGACATTGATCCACCTTTATCCGATCAGCATCAGCCTGTGCACGTCACACTGAGCTCACAGGGCAGTRAAACAATTTCTCTTACCTGCCTGAAGAGCCAGTTTGGGTTACAGAAAACAGGCAGAACCTCTGTTCTATAGAATAGAACCTATTCTGTATTGCCCTAGAACCCAAGGAAAAARCCCCAAACCAAAAAAAACAAAAAMCACCCCAAAAATTAAACCACTCTGAGACACGCAGCTGTATTTACAATTCAAGAACCCACCCATTTCTGGGGAAAACATTTTGTCAAAGTGAGCAAGGTCTATCTCAGCTCATCTCATTATCTTTTAAAATAATTGTCTCCTCCTATCTTTTCAAAACATTTAGGTTATCATAATTAGCTGGAAAATAGAATGGTATCCCACTCTCTGCCCCCTACCTCTGGGCATTTTGAGGAAATACAATAGAAATTGAGGCCCAAAAATGTAGGGAGTGAGTTATAGTGGGTTTTTCAGTTCCCAGTTCTCCCAGCAACAAGGTTTAAGAATAACTGGATTAGTGAAGCTCTCTTTAATGGCTTTTTCCTTTAACTGTTAGGAACTATTCAAGAGTCTTTTGGCAGCCTGGGGAAAGTAGCTGAGAACTCTGTTGATAATTTATCATCCTTAAGGGGGGGAAAAAGGCCAACAAAAAACCCCAAACCATAACCAATCTACTAGAAAAATCATTCTAAACTAACCTTCAAGTTCAACAAAACCCACCTACAGCATTGCAGACCTTCCAGAGGATCCTAAAATCCCTGTACAAATATGTACAAATGTACACCCTGTACAAATGGTGTCAGGCAGGAATTTAACAGGATCCCAGCAACTCATTGTCTTATGGGACCAAAACCACCCCACAAATTCACCAAAAACCCCACTCCAGGCTCCTTTAGTCTTTCCCAAGCTGTGGTTCAAACAAGTGCTTGCACTTCGAACTTCTTAACAGTCTCAAGCAGAATTCTTGACCTTTTTACTCTTTTGGACAGAGAACAGATGAAAATAAGAGGATTTCACTCCCTCTCAGCACATTGGTGATTTTTTTTCATTCAGGACAATAAATTCCCAAAGTTCTATCTCCCTCTACCGGTGCTTTTTGTGCTCTCATCACACAGCACAAACCCAGAATTAATTCCATCCTTTGTCATGGAATGGTGACTGTTGCTGCTTCAACAGGAAGCACATGGCAAAGCAAGATAAGCTGAAATTAAAGTTACAGAGTTTACAGCTACGAGGATGGAAGTGGAGGGTTTAAAGTTTCACTTTAGGTAATAAAAATTCAGATTTAAGCGTGGTTTTTACAGGGGAGGGATTGGGAAAGGGAGGGCAGGGTGAAGGAAATAAACCTGTGGATATTTAAATAGCTGGTACAGTAAAAGGATTGCAAGGTTCCTTTCTTATTTTTATTCTCCTTTACATGACAGATACATTTTGTACCTTCAAAGCTGGGTGACTGAGTTTTCTTGGAGCCAGATGTAAAACACATCTGAGCTGCTTCAAGTCACTCTTCCAATTTTTTCCTACTTCAGTTGAAAATCCCCCTCTTCCATTTCCCACCACGATTTATTTGTGAATATCCATCACACGTTCCAAACCTTCACTAAAGGGGGTGCAGAGATGGGAGCAGCCAACTCAGAGAAGCTCCCAAGCTCCAAATATCACATTCCAAGAATTACTGACTTGGAGAAATCAAASAGGACACAGGTACCTTCTCATGGATCAGCCAGGCCAGAGCTCCAGAGGAATTCCCAGGCTRGCACGTGGAGAACAAACTCTCCCCAGGCTCTGGGGGGAAGCCACGACCTGAACTCAACCCTCTGGAGTTACACCAAGTTAATCCATTAAGCTGCTTATTTTCTGCTGCTTCATTCATAACATATCCTCTAAAGCCCAAGGGAAACACGAGGCAGGGGTGGGGAATAAAATAAAAGAGGCTGATTGCGTTTAAGAATTTAAATCATTTTATTGCTTTACCTGCCATTAGGACAATCTATAACAAAAGGAATATAATATAATATATTAGCACATACAGTAAATCAGACTTATAGAGTCAGGTAACGATACAAAAATGGTCCTCTGGTTGACTATAGCTTCCTAGGGCAATAGACTTCATCAGTTTGCTGAAGATAGACTAGCAAAAAATTACTTCTAAAGCCCTGAATGTTAGCTAAGGCAAAACTATGCCAATTGTGGTTTCAAACATAYTGAAATTGCACACAAAGGTAAAGCTATAACTGTGTTTAATATTTAACTCAGACTTAGCTGATTTATCTTAAAATCTTGTAGGTAAAACTACAAAAGGGAGTAAACAGCAAGCTAAAAAGATGCAGTAGTGAAACTTGATTAGAAAGCCTTATATAAAAAAAAATGTGCATTTTTTGTTGTGGAGCTCTAACTGGTTTACACAGTTTTTGGTGCTTTAATGTAACACAAAGAACACGTATGAAGAAAAAACCTGCAGAGTCAAAACTTAAGAAAAAGGTTTTACAAAAAAAAAAAAAGAAGAAGAAAAAGAACCAAAAGAAGGTAGCATTTGCTTATTCCTTAAGGACTCTGGCAGAAATTCTCTATTCAACATCTCMTGAATAGAGAACTCAAACCACAAGCATTTCAATCCCCTCCTGGGATTTCAGTTTCAGAAATACCCTGAAACCTTTTGTAAAGGCTTGATACCTTCAGTATTATTCTGCATCAATTAGCAGACTCTTCCTGATTCTCTCCATGCCTGGGAAAATGTTGGATTTGAATCCACACCACCTCAGAAAGGAAATAAAACGAGGGCTCCATCATTAAAGTAGTTGCACAACAAATGSCAAACTGCTTGCTGTCACTCCCAAATACAAACCTATGCTACTTGATATAAATTACAGTTTAAAGGAAACCTTAAAAATTGCCTACCTATTGAACCGTGGAATTCAGTAAAAACTTTTGGGAAGTCTTGGTGAGCACAGAGTAATGGAGCACAAAGCTGGGAAATACTGAAATACATTTAAGACTCCGCAACAGACTGAACTTGGAAAAAAAATTAAAAGAGTGAGGATGAAAGGAGTGTGGTGGGAATTCAGAAGCAAGAAAAGAGAATGCACCTTTTGGCTTTGAACTAGATTTATAGTGAACCATTTTTAAAATGATGAACTGACACTTCTAAAAACTTAAAAGAACTGAGTGTTGCAGGAAAGTTCAAACATTCAGTTTTTCTGCCTCACATTCTCAAGCAAGAATAATGGAGCTCTACAGACCAGCAATCTTGTCCCCTGCAACWGCTGCTGGCCAGAAACACTCAGCATTTATTTTCCCTGCTAACAAAGGGTCACTTGAACTGATGGCAATTCTTTAAAAGTCAACTGAGGATTAACAGAACAATTCACAGGGAAAATCAAATGTTTGCTTTCGACTTCTACACCAATCAAAGCACTCAAACGGCACTAACAGCTGGACAGCTGCACCATTCTTACACCAATCTATRGACTAGAGACTAAAGTCAGGCATTTCATGTAGCATTTGGTTCTTGCCACTTGGAACAGAAAGAGTTTTAAATGGCAAATCTATGGCTGGAGAAAGAACGAGTGAAAAAGATCAGTTGCGGTCAGTCAGCAGATGGATGGACAACTGCAGTAGTTCAGCAGAACTATTAACCTGGAAAGCTTTTGATTTACACTTGACAAGAACAGAACTAAGCAATCTTAAACCAGCAGACACAGGAACAATGATACTGGTAAATTCCAACTGTTGGCTTTCTCAGCAGCTGATGCCTCACRATTGAATCCAGGATTACAGTACCCAGAAAATGAAAAAGAAACCCAGAAAACCCCAAGCCCCAAGAAGCTCAATTACAAGGGGAGCTKTTATGAAAAGAAATACAGCAGATGATGACCACAGCCTTACAGTCTGTCCAACAATTTCAGAGACACCTTTAAAAGAACTTTTTCCCCTCTTTTACTATCACCTCCTTACTCTATGGCAATGGCGTGGTGCCAGGAGGTTTCTCCCTCACTGAAGCAAGGCTGCACTGGCCTGAGTTGGACACTGGTGCACAGAGAGAAGCAAACGTTTCATTGAACTTTTTCTATTAATTTAATGGGACAGAGAGCACAGAAATAATATGCTCTAAATTAATGACAGTGCCATGATAAGCAGTTTATCTTTTTTTTTGCTTTTTTTTCCCCCTTTTTTTTCTTTTTTTTTTTTTTTTTTTTTTTTTTTTTTTTTTTTTTTTTTTTTTTTTTTTTTTTTTTTTTTTTTTTTTTTTTTTTTTTTTTTGTTTTAACCAGACAGAAAGCTGCAAATGCCAGTGGCAATGTGGCTCTGCACAAGGGAAAGAAAGCAGTCTGCATTCGTGAAGCATGGCTTGGACAGGGAGGAAGGTTTCAGACAGACAGTGATACAAAACTGTTGTACTGCTGGATGTTCCTCTTGAGGATATCRGAGCAGGGACCCAGCACACGCTCGAACCGGGGCCGGTCCAGCTTCACACATTTCAAGGGACCACGAGCCACCACGGTGGCAGCACGAGGACGGTTCATCARCAGAGCAATTTCACCTGGGAGAGCAGAGAGAGGGAGCAGAGTTACAATCAGCAGGTAAAAGAGGCACAGAAGTGACCCTGAGCTGTTTCAAATTGCAGGGAAGGTAATTCAGGCTTTAGCACTGCTCAGAACAAGCACCTCTGTGGTTACATCAGAAGCAACAGTGAAAGCAATTTAAAAAAAAACAAAAAAAAAAAAAACACTTGATGATTTTATTATTTAAAAAGCCTGCCCACATCCAAATCTCTCTGAAAAATAAGCCTAAAGAATTGTCAATACTGCATCTGTTTGAGAAAAGGTCATGTTTCAATTTCCCATGTTATTTTCCTAGCTAGCCAACAAGCAGTTATTTTTCTAATAGTACTKCTCAATTCTGGTATTTCTAGGAAACTCGGGACAACAAGACCATGGTTCTGAAGTAAACAAACAAATAAAACATTCATGCACCAGACAGAAGCCTTTGACCCAGTGCTGGCCAGAATCAAGAATCTGATTTGTCACGGGGCTGTGGAAAAGGAACATTTTGAAGTCCCACTGGATCCCCATTTACTAAGTTTTGCACAAACATGCCAAAAAGCTTTGTTTCAACTGCTCACAACATATTTGGAAATGAAGGTTTCAACAAGCCCCTGTTATCAGCAATGGAAAACATTCTTACAACAAGCAGGGAAGAAACCACAGCAGCAACTTTTGGGTTTTGTTTGCTTGGTTTTGGATTTGAGTTCTTTCCATGTTCAGGACTGAGGAATGAACTCAGTGTTCCTGGGAGARTACTTCTGCCTGCATTATCAGAAGGGGATGTTCAAAAGAAATGAGAAAATCTTTTCCTCTGTGCCCAACGAAAACTCCTGAACTCAGAAGCCTCCAAAAGAGCAGCTTGCAAAAGAACAAGGAGGTTCTGAGGGAGAGCTAAACCCCCAAAGGAAAGGTCTGCAGCACCTGAACACAGTGGCTGTGATAATATTTAGTTTAGGAGTGAGAAACTCAAGAGAACACAGAAGGAAATATTAGAAAATCTGAAATTACATAGACAGAATGAAGTCTAGTCCTAGATCCTGAGCTAAGCAGACCTTTGGGAAGAGCCAGTGCCCTTGAGTCTATCCCAATTCTGGCCTTACAACAGAGGATTTGCTGCTTGCATCATCTACAGAGCTGAAAACCTGGACAACCAAAAGGTTTTAGCAAGGAGAGGAACTACCTAAAAAATGAGAAAAAAAGTTAGGGGGTTTGAGAAGGAGAGGGCTGTATTTAACCATGAAACAGTACGTTCTGACCAGGTTCCTTTCTGACCTGGAGAAGAAAAGGCCAAGGAAGGAATTTTTTTTTGTCTTACTGTTGTTTTCAGCTATGTAAGGAGTGACTACAAGACAAACCCAGACTGCACAGTGAAAGACAGAGAGAGAGAGCACCAAGCTGCAGAACAGGAAATTCTTGTCAGGCACGAAGGAAAAAACCTCTCCACAACAAGGCTGGGTAAACAGAGCGAGAAATTGCCCAGAGARGCTGTTGGATCTCCATCCCTGGAGACACAAGAAACTCAACTGGACACAGCCCTGAGGAATATGATGTCATTTCAAATTTAGCTCTGCTCAGGGCAGGCCAAATCATCACCAGGCCTCTTCTACAACCAAGCAGTGTGGAACAATTCATTCTGTGTGCACAACTGAATGCCAGGTGACTCTGAGACTCACCTGACACTGAGAGCAACCACAGGAGTCCAAAACAGTAATTAAGCAAATCCATCTCATCTTTACCATGGACACAGCACAGACAGAATGGGGACAGTGGTGTCTCTCAGCATAGCTGCCCAACAGAACTCACCAAAGTAATCAGAAGGTCCCAGTCTGCCCACTTCAACAAATTCYTCATTTTCTGACCGACGCTGTAGCACTGCAGCTGTGCCCTTCAATAAATCACAGCAAACAATTRGAATTTCCAGCATCACTCCAAATACTGCATTACACACAGAATCAGCTGCTTTGCAGAAATATCTGTTACGATACCTCAGTTCAAAAACCACCCTACAGTCCTTGAACAGTTCACTCAACTRCTCTGTAACAACAGCTGCTCCTCCCTCCTCTCTGAGCATAAAACATCTGGAACATCTACATATCCACAGTGACTTCTTCCTGGTTTTCTTCAATCAGTAGGAATATTATAACTAGCAAAAACTCCAAAAGACACAAACCAGAAGTCAATTAAACCTCTAGTAGGGCTTTACCAGGTCTCTAATCCTCTCAAAAAGATAAAMTTTCAGTCAGAAACTTGTTGCTTTTTTCCTGGAAGTACCATTTTGAAAACAGCAAAACTAAACACAAGCATGTCCAGCAAGGTGATGCTTCTTCAGGGATTCTCTGGAAGTATATTATTATATAYTGTATATTATTATATTATGTTTTGTTCTCCAAGTGCCTGCTTAGRTACACAATAAAAACAAGTCCTGAGATTTGATTTTGACTCTACTTACCTCCAAGATAATGAAGAAYTCATCTCCTGGCTCTCCCTGGACCACGATCTTCTGCCCATCCTCAAACTGTACCGGTTCCAATGCATCAGCCACAGTGAGACGCTCCCACTTGTCCAGAGATTCTACAGAATAAAGAGTTCATTCATGGAGTGTCTGCTCAAGGCACAAAATTACACCTTTTGCTCTGTATTTATACACAAGGTAATGTATTTTCTGGTTGCCTTTGTGCATCAGTGATCAAGATATGAATTAGTTATTCTGACTGATGCAGAAAAGCAGTTGTGATGATTTTCCACAGCAGCCTGTAATCATCATAATGCTGGGTAACAGCTTCACTACAATATGGCAATTGATTCTACTCCAGAACAAAAATCTTCTCACTTACCCAATATAGATACTTTACTAAGGAATTTCTCGTACATATTTCTCTTTCTCAAAGTATTTCCCTACAAAAAAAAACCCAAAAACACAGAAGTTAAGTTTTCCTTCTACTCCAAATAGAACTCGAGACACGAACAAATTTAACCAGACACACAGTGTCCTGTCTCACAGACCCCAAACCCACAGGATGAAATGTTTTGAAATTGAGTTCTCTCAGGAATATTCCAGTTGAGCAACATTCCTAAAGCACTCAGGATTTACTGCAGCCTTATTACTCCCTCAGTTCAGTTTAATACTGCCATTGTTTTGGTCACTGCTACAAGATTCCCCCTTGCCCTGTGCCTGAGAGATTCACATTGAGTAATCAGCTTTCTGATTACAAAAGAGACAGCAGGATTTGGAATAAATAACTCCAGCAAAGGACAGGCASAGGCAGAAGGTCAGATGCCCAGGATACACAAACCCCAAAGCATAATTCCAGGTTGTGAGGGATACTTGCCATCAGGATCCTTCTGTAGCTGTCCCTGTCAATGCCCCACAACTTGACATTTGTCTTGGCTTTGACAGTGGCAGCTCGGGGGGTTCCATAGATGAGGGCCAGCTCTCCAAAGCTGCCACCCTCACCCACACTGGTTGCCCACTCGCTGTTCACGTAAACCTGGAAGGCAGAGCAGTGGTCAGAGACACCCCAACTTCCTGCTGCCCTCTATTCCCTTGCTAGGAAAAGGAAATTCTCCCATCTGAACAAAGCTGACCATTCCAGGGTTTTATCAACACTTCCAAGCCCAGCAGAGTTTGTACTTTCATTGACAAAGGGATTCTCTTCTACAGCACATGCACAGACTCTGCACAGACTGGTGAGACTCTCTGATACGAAACAACATCTCAGCAAGTCTGTGTCATTTCAAGGTCTGTGAATTAGCTGGGCTGGAAAATAAAAGGTCTGGTTGTTCCTAAAGGCTGTCCCACACCTCAGCTAGACTCCACCCTGCACTCATAAAACATCTGCATTGTGTCCAAATCATTCATTTTGAAACTCAGGCTGTGCAACCAGACTGAGCCATTAAGGAGCAAAACAAACTTCTATAAGTAAGAACTTAAAATGAGGAAAAGCTGCTAAAGGCAGGGCCTGTACAAGAGGCCTACAAATATCAGAGTAATCTTCTGCTAGGAATGAACATATCATTAATAAACTACCAGGAATGCTTACATCCATTTCTCCTTGATCAACAACATAGAAGTTATCGCCTTCATCACCTAAAGATGAGAAAAAACAATTGAATGTACACTAAATTGGATATACTATGAAAGAACTGGCATCTCTGCCAACTTTGATGCTTAGACTCCAACAAAGTCAACAAATTCTTGCACAGCTTGTAGGATGAAACGTCACATTTTGCTGATCTCACACTCCTCTCAGCCCTGTGAAAGGGGACATCTACTGGTACCCAGGAGATCAGCAGCAATTCCAGGATTACTGGAATGGTGAACCAGATCCATAAATTGACATAACATTCCTACAGAGTCATCAAATGACAATATTCCCAACAGATAATCTATTCAAGGAACCACATCCTCCTACAATTGCTCCAACTCCTCACTTCAGTATGAGCTGTGCTACAGGGAACACAACGAGAAATTGTCTGGCTGCAGGGACTCTGTTTTTATATTGAAGAATAAACATAAAGAATAAACACAAACTAACAAGCACTAGAGCAGAGCCTGCTCCCCACCCCCAAATGATTCCCCAGTGCAAACAGTGTCACTTGCCTTGCTGGATGACAGTTTCTCCTGCGATGTAAGTGACGGGGAACATCGCATCGAAGATGTCACTGAAGGAGAGGACACCAAAATCAGACAAAAGCCTGCACAACTCCACACATCTGTACCCCCAACCCATCACTGCTGCTCCTGGACCTCTGCATGGTTCCACTGCACATTTGTGACACATTCAGTTCTTTGGAATCTTTGCATTTCTACAAACCTTAACCCCACAGATTTCCTCCTACCTCCTTTCATTATCATCAAGATGGGTAAACAGCACATTCTTCTCAATTGCTTTTGCCAAAGCAGCCATGGTTTTATAATCTTTTGGAATAACCTATGAGAGAATCAGAGAAAACAAATGGTTAATTTTTGTCATGAAAAATATCTGCATTTCCCATGGTAAATAAACAACTTAAATTGCTACAAAACACTGTCTGAGTTTTCCCATTTTCTTTCAAGCACTATAAATATAACCCCAAATATAGTCAATGTTTACAGACAGTTTGAACACAAGCAAAATTAAATCTTGTATTATTTTCTGCAACTGAAAAGCACCATTCCATGCTCAGTTTTTAAGGTTTTTTTGTAAGAGGACAAGTATCTGTTCAACCTGTGTTTTCTTGGGAACAGCAGCAAGCCTGCTCAGGCCAAATGTTGTTGCAGCTGCCAAATAACTGGAAGCACATTATATATAATATATATATATAAATATATGCACATCTGAATATATAATGACTTCAAAGGGAACAGGTCTAAATAATGCATGAATGGTTTAATTGCATGATAGGTTATTCTGTCCTCCAGTTAAACAGCCACACACACACAGGTCTKCTTTTCACAGCAATTATGACATAACAGGTTCCAGGAGCTTGGTGTTATTTAATGCTCYGGATAAAAAGTGGGTTTAGATAAACTCTTGGATTGTGGATGTAATTTTGAGCAGAGTTTAAGAGTCAGAGCACCTTTCTAACATAAGAGGCAGCATCCTCTTCTGTGTAGACTTCTGCACTGATGGCCCCACGTCGTGATCGATATTTAACCACRGGGTTGAGGGGAGGAGGAGGGGAGATTTCATCCTCCCGGGAGTCGGAGCGAGAACCAGACTTCAGCTGATTCAACAACTGCTTTGTTTCCTCCTAAACAGGAAGGAAGACATGTTTGTGTCACATAATCCAAAGAAAAAAAAAAATCAGTCATATATCATGTTCCAGTCCAGCCTGCCAACACCAGGGAGCTTCCTGTGTACTGTTATTCCCACATTAAGGCAAACAGGAGACGGGAGCATCCAAGATCAAAGGCCTTTCCAAACACGTGGTTGATGAGCCCTTCATTCCTAACAGTCACATCACAATGGTGTTTATTTTATTGAGTTAGACTTCATTTATTAAACTGTTAGCATCAACCAGTTGATTCCACTTTCTGCCAGTGTGCTCAAGAGATGATGCAGAAATTCCCCAAATGCTGAAGGCATCTCCCCAGCTGCAAACCCCCCCAGTTCCTCCCCTCGGCTGCGAGGTGYTAAAACCTTTCTGGAGTTGAAAGACAGAGGAGCAATTCCTCAGAAATCCATGTTACATGAGAAGCTTTTCAAAGAGGTTGAGTCATGGACCAACTTGATACTCATTAACCAACATTTATTTTAGGAGAAAGAAACATGAACACAGCTTTCAAAAGCGCTGAAGGAAGGATGCTAGAGGCCAAAGTGGAATTTTTTTTTATGCAAACCACATGCAAACCTTGCACAAGGCTACGTGTTTTCCTTATTTCCCTCAGCTGCTTGTTGTGTTATAGTGACACTGTAGAAGACCAGAGAACTTACAATAAAACAAATTCTAATTAACTTGACACACAGAAATTTGATTCTTCATACGATTCATGTAAAATCAGATTAAAAACAAACCAGCCAACCCTGGAGTCAGAGCATTGACATCATAACAGCTCAAATGACTTTCCCAGTGTTAGGAAACRGGGGTTTAGGACGTTCTGTAAAAGAACAAGGACTCATCTGTTCTCCCAGAGCTCCAGCCCCTGTAAAAGCTGTGTTTGTCCCAGTGTCCTTGATCCCAGCAGGGCAGCGAGGCTCTGGATAACAACACCACCCTGAGGAAAGGGCCATGGCATAACCATTCCTGGCAGTTTAGTTTACATTCCACCTCTCCCAGAGMCAAGGAGCTCTGCCACCTCACATTTCACTTCCTGCCCATTGATAAAATGGTGCTACATTTCCCAAGCATGGCAGCAAAATGTATTTAAAACTCAGTTCTGTCGTCTGATTTTAGAGGAACAAGTCTCGACAGAGATGAAATTAAAAATAGCCTGAGCAGTAATAAGTGTTTGGTTTAAAGTGCCTCACATCAACCACAGAACATGTTTGTTCACATACAAAATACTCAACCCATTAAAAAAGACACTTTTTGAATAAGTGAACACCAGCTGCTGGGCTTTTTCCCAGTATCACATAAAATATTAAATATTGTGATCAGAGATTGAAGCACTTCAGCAGCATTTAGTGARGGAGCTGTTGTCAAAACACTCTTCAAGAGACTCCTCAGGGCAATGCCCCCCTTGGGGAGAAGGAAATTGCACCAACAGAAAAAAATACAACTGATAACTTCTGTCTGACCCAAAATTTAGCATTAACTTTTTTTTTTTAGCACAGTAAAGCAGGGGATGGAACAGAAGCAAGTTACAAGTGGGTAAAATAATGTGTTAACTTAAAATGTACCAGTTATTCTAAATAGCCTATACATTCACTCAGCAAATCCATAAATCTTCAAATATTCACATTACACATTGCAGCTTTTAGGGTCAGTCATGAAATGCAAACCTTATTTTTCCTGACAAATAAACAYTTATTAAGTCCATTTGAATTATTACAATTAATACTGAAGTGATGACACTTCATGTACTCATATTAAAGTCTATTGGCTASTGAAGAAAACCTTCACAATTTCAGAATTATGGCGTACACTGTAAAACCTGCTGTCCTTGCACCAGACAGTCTCAACTTCTTCTGATTAATTAGTATTTTATTTTTATCATACTCAAAAATCCCCAAATATTCAGAAGCTATAAAAGCATTTTTTAAAAAGCTCTGCCATAAACTCACAATTGCWCAGTATATCCTTCTAAACCAGTTTGTTTTGCAGTAGAAACACTTAGGAAGGTGATTTTCCTAACACCTTAATAAAATTTTCTTTCCTAAGAAGAAAATAATTTGAAAATATTCCAACATCTGAAGCAGGGCAGATGGGGGGAACAGGGACAGTGACTACATGTCCATCACACTTCCTAATTCCTGCTTTCCATAAACCCCAATGTGCACACAACTGCATCACACACAATATTTCAAACATGCATTCATTCCAGAGCATAGACAAGTCCAATATCCAGGATTCACCTGGCAGGCTGCAATAATGATCTCTACATTAAATTTCCAAAGCTCAAGCTGCATTACACAGCCCAGCCCAGCACTGGAGAGCTATTACAGCTTTTAGCAGGTATTGGTATTACCAGACACGTTTGCACAGCCAAGAGAACAGAGGCCTCAGGACATCACAAACAGATAAAATRAAACCATTTATACAATCAATGTGTAGTAATTAGATTCCTCTATCAGCTTTCATAACCCAGAAGAGGACATTTGAATTCCTATAGTAGCTGTAACAATCTCAGAGGCAGCAATTYTAATGTTTCTGAACCGAAATTCTAAAGCATGTTTAAATTTCTTCAACATATTTTAATAACATGCCAATGAATCAGCTCTGTTTGTGTGCACTGCAAGAGATGACTTGTCAAGAGAATGAGAGAGAAAATAGCAACCTCACTTCAGTTTTCAATGGTGCTCCTTCAAAAATCCATCTTAAAAAAAAAACCTGATGAAAATGAGGTTGAGATAGAGTCAAAGAGATGAAAATTTAGGAAKTGCACTGAAAAGTTGCTCTGCTCTATTACAGATGTAAAATAAGTGACTTTTGGGAGGGGGAACACATTGAGTTTGAGGCATTTTTGCTGTAGCAGAGCAGGGTTCTGGGCTGGAGTTGGTTAATAATAGTACTGTGCTTTCCAGCCAGGGATGTCAGAGTTTCCTGTCCAGCACAGGATGTTCACTGCTCTGTTACCTGATAGCTGTGGAGGTACCACATCACCTGGATAAACTCAGCCCAGCCCAGGCTGACTGGGGAAACCACCCAGAGGAAGCTGCAGCAAGTTTAAAATCCTGGGAGGCAAGAAAAAACTGCTCCAGCTTCACTTGTAGCTACAGCTSCACTAGAGGATACTTAAAACCCATGAGAGAAGACCCTGACCAAAATTGCAACAGCAATTTAAGGGGAAAAAACATTACCTAACCAGTTTTATTTTCAGCTTCAGTGTAGGCTGACCGAGTACACAGAGAGCCAACATGCACCAGAATAAAATCACCAACGTATTCAATTCCAACATTCATGTCATTAAATTCAGAGCTGGACTTGTTGTCTTGCTAAAAACCAAATWAAGTTGCTAAACACTGCATGTTGACCACAAATCCACTGCACAAAAGCACCCAAAAAATCCCATTTTATAACCCCACATATGGATTTACACTAAGCGTATTTTTTTTTTTATAAATGCTTTTACAAAGCATTTACTTTGTACAATTTTGCATATTTATATTTTAAAAATTATTAATCTATCAGTATTTCCAAACTCAAGAATCCAAGGATGGGATAGAAGCATGGTAACAGGCAGGGACAATGGATTTTTAAGAACCTCATTATTAACTGGTTTGTTGCTGATACACACACAAAAAAAAAAAAATCAGAGCTCTTCATTTCATAAGCAAAATGATCCTCAAATACATTACTGGTAGTTTGCACCCCTTGGTCATTTTTTAGTATTTATCCCAAGTAAGTATTTTATTCCCATTAAAATATAATTTCCACCAGACAGATTTATGATCTCTAGTGTTAATGTTTTTCTTCTTTACATCAGCAATCAGTAACTCACTAGAACAAAAAAAAAATAAGATAAATATCTAACTGCCCTATAGAAGGACTGAGAGCAGCACCTGCAAACAAGTGCTGTACAAGGTCACAGCTGCATTATTTACTAATTCCATATTCTGAGTACAGTTGTATCCAACCTTCCCTCTGCACARGCTTTTAATCTTCCCATTTCCACTGCAGCTTCTTGTCCTACCTGCTTAGATATCAATATACAAAATTAATAGGCCAAAAGAATGTGAAATTGCTGATTCAACTATGATTGCTCTCCATTCCCAAGATCCCAGAATGCTTCCAACAGCAACAAAAACACCAAGGGGACCTCAGGACAAACACAAGAAGACACCAACACTGAACACCCAAGAGAAACCAAAAACAGGATTGCTCTTCCAGAGATCTGGAACGCAAATCTTCCATCTGACTTCAACCAGGCCTGGCTAATATCACTGGCACCWCTTCTGTGCTCTACCCAAATTACTGGAAATCAGTTTAAGAATCCAAATGCCATCACCAGCATCAGCCAAGGTCAAACTCCACAGTTCTCCAGCTCCAGACACACTCATGTATGCTATGGATYAGCTTCCATGAGTAAGCATTGGATTGGGATCACATCTGCATCCCAGCTAGGTAAGTCTCTTTGTCACCCTGTGTTGTGCCCTAAATGCTTTGGGATGACAGAGATGCATAAACTACTGGAAAATAGGATCTGTTTTCCAAAAGCACTGCTTCCAATTTCAAACAGCCAACACAGACACTGGTCAAATCTGTAGCTGAGCTCCTAAATGACGTAGATTTTTACCTTACTTAGATTTTTTACCTTCTCCAATCTTTCAAAGTACTCTCTGATGAATCCCATGGGTCTTTCAGGTCTCACTGTGCATAACTGTACAATGCAATCCTTCAGCAGYTGCTGGATGTTGTGTTTTTGGATGTAAAGTTCACATTCCCGAAGGCTCCGCTCCTCCTCGCTGCTGCTGCTGCTGGAAGCTGCCATTGCTGAAGGGAASAGAAGGAGAAGGTTAAATAATTGCTGGAAGCAAAGATGCTGCTGCCTAAAAAAAAGTTATGCTGCATTATCTTACTAGTGTCACAGCATAAAACCAGATTAACCTACCAGAGCAGTAACTAAGCTAAAGAAAATGCTGTCAACTTATTTAGCACCTGGAAAAAAATGAAAAATAAAAACTCGGGGGGCTCTATGGCCACAGGCAGGAAAAAAAAAAAAAGTGGTTGAGGTGAAAAAACTTCAACAACTCAAGCCCTGTGAGCACTCCAAGTCAGGGGGGAATCCACCTGAACTTCTGCTGCTTAAAGTGAGGATTTTGTAGGACTGGAGGCTCATGTCAGGCGCTGTGTGGTCTGTGTGGGGTCATGAGGATGGATGATGGCCAGCAGAGAGGGGGGTGGAAGCAGGAAACGTGAGAGGCCAAGAATGACCAGCATTCGGAAGTGAAACATGTTCAGGTTGAAGCCAAAGCCAGTTCTCCAAATGTCAAGGCAGAGTCTGCTAACGGAAGTTATGGATTACAGGCATTACTGCTAAAAAGCTCCTGTGTAATTTAAACCTGTTCATACCTCATCACTTATTTCATGGACACACTGCAATCCCAAAAATACCCCTKCAACTGTAAATAATGAAGAGCAGAGCTTTAAACAAATCTGTTACCATGCCACGTTTTCAAAAGACTTCCTAAGCTTAGCTGACACTTTCAAAAGTGTTCTTAAGCAGTTTTTTTTTCCCCCTTTCAGTTTTGTATTGGATTTGCATGGCCAGATTTTGGGGGGCCAGAGCCAAAAGATGAAACAGCCACTGGCCAAGACTGAGCCCATCAGTGACAGTGACAGAACCTTTGGGATAATGGATTTAAAGGAGGGAGGGGAAATGGCTACTTCAGGTGCAGAGAGGAATGGGAATATTTAAAAAAAAGCAGTCCTGCACCCTTCAAGGTCAGTGCAGGAGGTGCTGCAAGCACTGGAGCCTGTGACACAGCCCATGCTGTGCCCTGCTGAGGTCCACGGGGAGCAGAGATCCACC